GAAGCAAAGGTTATCTGCTGCAGTTAATGGTTAAGCAATGTAAGTACTTTTACCCTTGGGTGAAGACCTTCTGATCCAGGAGATTTATTACTGTTTTTCTGTTTATTCCAAGCAGTAGAGGAAGCCATGTCCTTTACACGTGTTACAACCCCCCTCTTGGTTCAAGGGTGTGAGGAGCAGAGCAGAGAAGGAAGAGAAGGCACAAACCCCTTTATGGTAGTTCCTTTTTATGCCAGTTAATCTTGTCCAACTACTGTACTGTAGTACCAGTTTAAGGTGAAAAAATGCTCCCCCTCCCTCCTCTAGATGAATCTTTTTTCTCCAGCCTTCTCCTTCCCTCCTGCATGTTTAACCATCGCTGGGACACATGAGAGGGGGTAGGAATTGCCAGGTGGGACAAGAGCTGGTCCTTGGCACGTGCAGGTCCTGAGGTTTGGAGAAGACCCCCAACACCTTCTGTCTGGGCTGGCACTGGGAAAAGTTGGCTGGGAAGAAAGGTGGATAAAGGGATGGGCAGAAAGGAAAACACCAGAGTTGGAGAGTTTCCTGACTGGAACCTGACCCACCTACCAGCCTTTGGAAGACTTTCCATTTGCTTTCTAAACTCTCAGGCCCGAATGTCATATCGTTTGCCCAGCCATAAATAGCTGGGAATTAAACAAACTGTGCTGCTTTTTTGGCTAATAGATAATGTCCTCTAGTGCTGCAGCCTTATCTTCATATCCCACTGTGTTTGCATTGGAGATCAGGAGCTCAAGCTGACTTTTTTTTTTTCCTCCCAAGATTTAAAGAGCTGGCAGAACATTCATTCAGTTGTGCAACCTCCATTGAGAGAGGTTCTCAGATCCTGGGCATGGGGCTCATTTTTTGCCCTTTGAGAGCTGCTGTAAATCAATACAGCGGGTGGAGGTCACTTGTAGTCAATCAGTAACCAGCACAGGCAGAGGGCAAAACACTCAATATTTGGTATGAAAACAGGCTCTAAGCTGGAAGTTCTTGCTCAGGTGACATTTTCACGGCCATGCCTTTGGAAACCTGGCTCCATCCAGCCTTGGGGGAGGTACAAGCCTGGCCATGATCTTTTTCTGGTAATTATCCACGGGGAGAATCTCCCAGCACGTGCACACGAACGAATTACAGCAAACCAGGGCACAAGGTGCTTCAGGTGGAGGAAGTGGGTCTTGTGGTGCTCATTTGGTGCCAGCTGGATTACTCCTGCTTTTTTGCAGGAAATCATTAAGTGTTGGCTGAAGCCATGCATGACCTTCATCACAACCACTTCTCTCAGGAACTGAGAGTCATGGCCAGGGGGTAATTCTTGCAGGGGTCCCTAATTCCCTTTGAAACAACTGGGAACTAAGCTCTTAAATACCTTTGCCGTCTGAATCATATTGCACTGGCGTCATCACTTCTGTTTGCTCCTCGTTCTGGAGCCGGGTGCCCATTAAAACTTCTGCCTGACCTCATCTCGAGCCCCTGCAATGAGAACACGCTCGATTTCCTCTTTCCTTTGACCTCGGCGGCTCCGGGCTCCGCGGTGATGCAGGATGTCCCCGTGAGCAATCACCCAGCCGGCTCCCCGTGCGCGCAGCTCCCGTGCCCCGGTGCCCTGCCCCGTCAGCTCTCTGACATCCCTGTGCGCAACCTGGACGTGCTCCCGCGGGCCCCGTGCTGCTGCAGCCACACGCCGGCACCTCGCTGTTTGTCCCCTGGTAACAGAGCGGGGCTGCCCCGGCTGTTTGCACAACCAGCCGGCACTCCTGCTCGGATCCCTGTGCTGGGCGGTGCCCGCCGAGCCGCGGGATTTGCAGGTTCACGTGTCGCACTTTTCACCTTCGCTCCAGGCTGGGAGGTGGGCACGTTGTGCCAAGTGTCCATCAGATCCGTCCCAGCGCCCCTGAGAGCTCCTGCAGGTCTCAGACCCAGCTACTGGGGGTCTGCTGCCTTGATGCAAAACGTTGTCTGTTGGGCTCAATGATCTTGGAGGTGTTTTCCAACCTTAGGTTCTGTGATTCTGTGTTGCTTCCCAGGCTGGTTGTCTCTGTGAAATGCTGCTTTTCTGGTGTCCACACACAGAGGAAAGGTTTGACATCAGCCACTGGCCATGGCCACGGGGCTTTGCAGGTGGTGTCCTTCCTCCAGCTCTTCCCTGGAGCCTCACAAGGCCACTGCTGCTCCTTGCCAGCCTGCTGGCATACAGGGAAAGGAATCAAGCAGGTTTTTCCCTTTCTCTCTCTCTCCTGTCATACATTTTATACAAACTTTAAATACCAGCACTTCCTTCAAGCTTTCTGACAGCCTGAGAGAGGGACCCCAGAGAGCAGGATGGAAGCTCAGCTTGTGAGCAACACAAAAGGGATTTTCTGACCAGGAGCTGCATGCACGTGCTCATTATCCCTGTGAAGGCTGGAGCAACATCCTCCAGGGCCAGTCCTGTGCACCAGCATCCCCGGGCTGCCAGACTGGTCAGACTTGAATTTTAGGCTTCTTAAAGGTTTAATAAGAGGCTGAACTAAAATAGCTGTGAGTGGAGAGCTGAATTCTTCAAGGTCAGAAGGTGGAGAAGGTGGGGTTAGGGTCAGTCCCATGCCATGGGGAGGTTCGGTGCTCCCAGCATGGCATGGGATGGTTTTTCTCCCCGGCAAGCAAATGAAGGATGCTCGTGGCACTGCTCCTTCTGCCCTGGGGAGCTGTGGTGGAGCACAGCCCTGTGCACCCCAAGGGGCTCAGAGGATGGCTCAGCCTTCCTGGTGTGGCTGGGCAAGTCTGTAGGTTTGGGCAGGAGCTACAGAAGGGTGGCTGTTCTGTGTCTGGGAGCTGGGCTGGGCTGTCCAGTGACCATCTCACTGCACCATGTTGGAAAGCTGACCCAGAATGTCCCCCCAGAGTGTACCCTGTGCAGGTAAGTCCTCACACACTAGGCCTGCATGCCCAGAGGGGGCTGGCAAACACGTTGTGCCTTGTTCAGCTCTGGGTCTCAGCACCTCAGACCACTTGCACACTGGTTATTTTAAGTGCCTGCTGTCTTCCTGGGGGATTCACCAGGAGAGAAAACCAAAAGGGCACTTTAGAGCCCAGGCTTCAGCACTGCACTGCGCTGACTGGAGCAGCAATGAACGCTCTGCTTTCAGCTCTCAGCTACCTTTGCATCCCAGCTCTTGTGGAACAAACAGCTACATGTCTCCCAAGTAATTTTAACACTCCCACAGTTGCAAAGTCCTTTAGCTTTTTTGGGGGAAAAAAAAAGCGCCATATAAACCCTGTATCTATTAAACCTTCATCCTCTGAAGCCTCTGTGTTAGTGTGCCAGGAATGTGCCACTTCCTACAGCTTGCTTGGAAAATGACAGGTGAGCCATGGGAGCAGCAGCACCTGCCACAGCCCAGGATGACCCGGAGGAGGTGCTGGCTGCTCTGGAGGGCAGCAGGGCCAGCATCTCCCACCTGCAGAAAATGGTCTTCACGAGAACATACACAAACATTAAGGACCTTTAATTGGAGGGTGTTTTTTTTTCCACATACACTTAGGAAAGGTACAACAAAAAACCCAGCAGGTATTTTCTTGGTCAGCAAACGTGATCCAGACTCCCTCCCACTCAGCTTCTTCTGACATTACACAAAGCACTGGAGATTTAGATATGCTCCTGTTGTGGAAACATTTTGGACATAACCCAAGCCCAGACCACTGGGAGAGGATCCCAGTTCTCCGTCCTGCTGTGGTCTCTGTCCGTGGCTCAACTACAGGTGCAGGGCATGGAAAGCCTTCAGGGGAACCAGAGCTGGACTCACATTCAACGCCGTTTCCCTCATTGTTAATTTTCTTCCCTGCAGCGACCAAACACCCAACCCACAGGCTTTGGGGGGTCTAGAGCCTTGCACATCATGCTGAAGCCCAGGATCTGCCTCTTTCATCTCCCTCCCCAGCCCTTACCATACCCAGCCCCAACACACTCCTGCAAAAGCCGCCGTGTACCCATTGCCAGGCACCAGCCTCGGCCACCCCTCAGCGATCCCATTAGATGGCACCACGGGGCAGCGTTGGCTACACCTTCTTTCCTTCCTTCCTCTCCCCTAGACGTGTCTTGACACTGCTCCAGCCCTGAACTGGCCCTTTGTGCAGGGCAGCAAGCTCTGAGCTCCACCGTAGTCACTTGGCTGAGCCTGCGAAACGAGGAGCGAGGACAAGGCTCGCCACGCTCGCCCCTCTTCCCTGCAATCACAGTCCTTAGCGAGGCAGGATGTTTCCAGGATCAGCCTTTTCTTTATTTAAGGATTTTTGCACAGGCAAATGTTACATTTTTTTGGGCACACAGAGGTTAAAATGATCAATCCTATGTGTATGCACACGCTCCCCCCCCCAGCCCATGCTGGCTCTCCCAGGGAATTTATCCAACACATATATATACAGTGGTCTGGTAGAAAGTGTTTTCTGAGGTTTTGAAATCCTCTAAAAAGGCTCTAAAAGGCTAACACTGATAAAAGCCCTTAAAGAGTGTCCGCTCTGTCTGCCTGTGTCTGTGCAGTTCGGATTCAGCAGCTTTGTGTCTGCCTAATGCAGTTTGCAGGCTGTGTATTGCACTTTCCTAGGCTGAATCTTGTTCTGACTCCTCTTGCTTTGCTCTCTCATCTATAAAAGCAGGATTTCTACTGAAAATAAGCAATAAACTGCTGCGTATGCTCAAGTGGAAAGCATTTTCAAAAGCAAGACAGCACTCTGCTGTCCTTCTGCCTGGGACTTTTTGTGATAAGACAGTAAATTGATTGAAACTAAAATAGGGAATGAGGGTGTTTGCTGACCTTGTTCTGGTGACAGAAAAGTCATTTCAGGGTGAGACTGTGCCTTGAGCTTCTACAGGGACCTGTTGTCCTGGGCATAGGATCAAGGGAGTTTTTCCTCCAGAAAGGATTGCAAGATAGGTAGTAGTTGCCATTTAAAAATGAGGTTTTTAAAAAGAAAAGGGAAAATTTCAATTAAAAGAAGCAAACATAATGCATAGGTTGGTTAAATGTTCACAATTGTAAATACAGACAATAATTTACAGGCTTTTCTCTTGAAATATTAGTGCTGCTATAAGGAGCCAAGCATGTGACTTACTTACAACGACATACCATCACATTTCCAGACTGAAAATGAGACAGATTAAATTGACATTATATATTATTTAGCTGTGTACCGACTAGCCAAACAAACGCTATGAATTCCGTCATTTATGATGGAAGCTACATAAAAATTGCCTAATTACTGCAGTGAGTCACCTATTTAAATGGCACTCCTATATGGACGAATTGATTTCAATGCAAGATTAATAGCCTTTTGCTGCTGGTTTACGTGCTTGCCAAAGACCAAACTACGTTGTTGCTAAGCATCATTAGTGGATTAAAATAGGGGTTCTGCATAATTCCTACGGTGTACCTTCAAACAGCGCTTTAGTTTGTGCACTAGCCTAGCTCTTGTTAGCCCTACGTAACACACGTGTGAGGGGGGTTAATGCAATCCCAGGAACTCTTTCAAAAGCTCGCAGGTTTTCTTGTGGATGACTTCGCGGAGCTTGCGCACGCGCCGGATGCTGGAGGTCCCCACAAAGCTGTCTGGCTGCAGCACAGCCATGCCGTTGTGGACATCCCCCATGATGATGAGCTGGCCATCCACCGTGGTCATGTTGGGACACGGGCAGCTCCAGTCCATGTTCAAGAGCGTGATTTCCAGGGGTTCCTTCCCCAGGAATTTTAATCCCATTTTTTCATCCTTGAGAATCTCCTCCACCGTCACCAGGGCGTGCCCCGAGTCTTGGTCTTCGGTGAGCTCCGTGATGCGGCCCAGGATGACGAAGTCGCTTTTGCAGAAGCTCGTCACCAGCTTCTGGCGGGGTTTGCAGGCTTTGCAGTGCGTGTTCTTCGGGAAGGGGCACATCTCCTCGCAGGCCTCCCGGCTCTCGAAGTTGTTCTCGTTGCCTCCACACCCGCCGTAGATGAAGGACTGGCACTGCTTTGTCAAGCTGTTGTAGGCCCACCTGGGCTCGTAGGCCTTGCAGTGGCCTTGGAGGGCTGGCAGGTTGCAGATGTTGATGGGGCCATTCATGCACGTTAACATGCAGCTCTCATAGGTCTCAAAGTGGTTGAGGTTGCTGTTGCAGTTCCCATAGATGAAAGTAAAGCAGTTGTTTTTCTTTGCATCATAGTACCACCTGGTCTGCTCTTCCCCGCAGTCTTCGCTGTCCGGTTGCTTCAGGCACTCATCGGTTGGGAAATGTGTTTTGTTTTGGGAAGCCTCTTTGGATGCGGGTTCTCCTTTGATGACTGACAAAGGGAAGTCAGCCCTGAGGAGGCCACCGCTGTTCTGGGCGGTGCAGGTGTAGATTCCCGCGTCCTGCAGCTGCGTGTTGTAAATGACCAGCTGGGCGATGTTGGTGACCACGACGTTCCCTCTGACGTGATTTGGCCTCATGATGACTTTGTCTTTCCCATCGACCTGCTTCTCCCACGTGATCTCTGGCTTGGGTCTCCCTGTAACGTCACAGAGGAAGCTGACGGTCTCTCCCACGTAGACAGACTGATGGACAGGGTTGTTCACGAGCGCGGGTGGCAGGATGTCGACGACCGTTGTCTCGGAGTAGGCAGTAGTTGGGCGAGCTGTTGTTTCTGGTGGGATAGGGCTGGTGTTTGGCCAGGTGAGATGGTACCTGCAGGTGACCACGTTCAGTGTAATGCCTTTGATGCAAGCTTCTGCATCCATGTAGCACTTGTTGTAGTAGGTGAGCCCGTCGGAGGCGCAGGTGAAGCTCGGCTCCTTCTCACACCTGTCCTTGCACTTGCAGACGGGCTGCCCATCCCAGATGTCGCACTCTGAGCCTTGCTGGATGCACATGAAACGGTCACAGGTTGCCTCCTTGGGCATTCCCACCGGCCCTTTTTTCCCCTTGACGTCCATGTACCGAGCGGCCACACAACTCTTCGTCCCACAGACATTGGGGCAGCACTTCTCGAAGGTCTCGCACTCCTGGGGGGGAGAAAAATAACCCAATCGTTACTGGGGACAAAGTAAAGGCCTTTTTAGAGACCCAGCAAGCAGACAGCCCAGAAACTCAGGGGACCTCGTCTGCCACAGATATCTCTGGTCTGAAAACTCAGTGTCCCCACGGGCAATGAGTAGAAACATCTCCTCAGCATCTCCCAAGAGGTGTCTAAACATACTGGGGGTTCTGAAGTGCTTCAAGAGAAGACTCTCTGGAAGGAAAATGTAATTCTGTTTCTTAAACACAAACCTCATCCTAAGTCTTTACCCCAGAGTCACATGGACTGCTTGACTACCAAACCAACCACCCCCCTTCTGTGCTCTCCCAAATGCCTGAGGACAAGGCCTGAGAAACAAGAGCCTATGGAAAGTCTTATCATATGGCTGTAGGCAGTAATCCTTCTTATTTTCCACAGAAGTATGTAAAGTATTATTTGAATTCCCTGAGACTAACAGCCTGCTCTTGGAGGTGAAACTGCCAAGGATTTGTAATTGTTCACATTGTAGAGGAAATAATAGAATATCTCAAAAGTAAGGTAATTCTTACTCCAAAAATAATTTTTCTATGGTATTTAGAAAAACAAACCCCAAACAGATCATTATGGCTTCTCTGTCCTATTTTAGTCCTATTTTCAAATGCAGCATCGCTCTTCTAGTGATTTATTACACCCCGCCTCGGCTACAGTCAGCTCTAAATTGTGGTTAATTTTAGCAGAATTTTCATCTTCTGTGCAGAAAAGGTATTTGATACGTGTGATCACGGCTGCTGGGCTGTTATGGATTACTTCAAGGGACCATGAACACTGATACCATGTGCCCAACAGGTCACACTTCCACTGTGTGTTAAACCTCTACAAGCCCCCTGAAATCCATCAGCTGTCTCTGTAAGTGAGGACAACATGATTTTTAGGCTACCAAACTAAAGAGCTTCCCCTGAGTCCAGTATCCTTTCCTTATTGGGAAAAAGATGACCTAATACCAGAACTCTTTCCCCATTTCCAGCTGCACATTACTAGGTTTCAGAAGCAAAGCTAGAAACCAGGATGGGTGAGGTTTTCAGCTGGGGTTAAGGAGTGTGGCTTGGCAGAGCCCTTGGCTGCCTGCAGACCACTCACTCCATCCAAGGTGCCAGGAATCTGTGCTGCCACAAAGTGAATATTTGTAGCCACTGGCTTCTGGCTTTCAGTTTTTGACCAGTAAATTATTAAAACATTGTCGTCTGCTGCTGGGGTTTTGCAAGTGTTTTAGCATTCATCGCTGCACCTGGTAGTTGGAACAGAGGAGGCTTATTTGAGAATGGCAAAAGTAAAAAGAGCACCTTCATTCCTAACACATGGGATCCATCTGAGCAAATGTCTTTGTTTACTTATGACCAGCATTTTTCTCTGGTTTTTTACCCTTTTTAGCATTGCAGAAACAACCTGGCTACAGAGCACAAACCCAAACACTTTTTTTCATCACAGTACGTGTTCCTGTCAGCCAGGTTTGGGCTGCAGGAGCTTTGTCGTGGGACATGATGTAAGAGGCAGGACAAGCAGGTATTTTCAGATGCCAGCTTGAGCTGGCAGTGCTGACAGGTTGAAAAATGAATTTGGGGGTTGTAAGCTAAACACATTTTGAGCTGGGAGCATCCCACAGAACATCTGCCTGGTCATTTTAGCCATGCCCTGTTCTGCACCCCAAGCACCCTTTGTGCTTCAAGTGCAGCAAAGGCTGATGATTTGCATGTTAAATCAAACAATTTCATACAGGATTTCTCCCAGGAATATAAAACATCGATGATGGCCACCAACAACAAAGAACACGGTGACACTGCTGAAATACTACAGACTGGCCCCAGTGCATGCTGAGTGCTGGAGTATCAAATTCAGACAGTTCTTTTGACATGAAAGCAAGGAAAAGGATCAAACAGAGCGAGCCCTGTGCCCACATCAGCGTAAGTGACAACTGCCACACACCTCCCTGCTTAACAACAACTCATCAAACCTTTTCTATTTTATATAGGTCACGGGTCAGTTAAATACATGCACTGTCTGCACCGAGTCCTGCATGGTGCCAGTGCCCTTCTCGTGGGACAGACAGAAACAAGCCCCCAGACAAGCCCCCTCGCCGCCCGTGACGCAGAGACACAAAGATGTGCATCACTCACCAGGTCAGCGTCGCACTCTCTCTTGCAAGTGCTCTGCGCGTCGACCCACAGGTTGGGGTTCATGTCATTGGGGCATATCCCAGCGTGGGAATACCGGACTGGGGGCAGAGCTCTCCCTTTCAGAGAGACCTCCAGAAGCAAGAGGACACTGCTCTTCCCCAGCAAGATCCACATCCACCGAGTGAACAGCACCAACAACATCTCAGAACTTCTCCAGGGCAGTGGCAGTGTCCGAGCTGGAAGTAGTTCTTGCTTGCTTGGGGTTGCTTTTTTTTGGCAAGCCTTAAATTTTTGAGGAACCCAGATGCACCTGACCTCAGTAAAAGCTTCAGCGAGCTCCTCTGCTGCCTCTGTCGATAGTGCAGTTTGGTCTGGACCTCATTGGATTAAAGGTCCTAGGAAGTTATCCCCTTATTTTAAGAGAAACGCTACTAGTCTGAGCAGAGTTAGCTCTATTTATACCCTGCCTCTGTTAACAAGTCAGAAAAAGTAAACTTGATTTCTTTGACAGGCACACGCTTCCTATGTCCTGGTGGCAGTCAGACAGATTTGTTGCAAGAAAAAAAAGCTGGAAAGAGTTCAAAAGGCTGGAACTGGCATGGTGGGACCCCTGCATGTTTCTGAATGCAGGGAGGCCTTCTTAACCCCTTTAGACCTAAAGTACTTCCCTATGCTAAGAATGGCATTTAGTTCTGAAAGGGGACTTGTCTAAATAACACGGACCCGCGGTCAGGGGATTTCCCCACGGCAAGGGGCTGCACAATCACTTGCTAAAAGGAACAAGTAATAGGATTGAAGCAATTAAAGCCAAAATATCATATTTTAGCAGAGGAAGTAGGGGAAGAAATAACTTATTTAAACGTAGGATTGACAAAGCAGAATGTCTTCATAACTTCTCCCGGGGCTCCTCTGGGCTTTTTTCTTCTTTGGTGGGGAGATTTCCAGGATGCCAGGTTTAAAGCTGCCCTCCAGCCCCACCAGGAAGATGTTAAAAGTGTCCCTGAATTCCTCTACATTTCCTGACAGCCAGATCCCATTGTACAGTGCATTGCTGACCCCTTTAACAGCAACAACAAAAAAATAGTAGAAGTTCAACACTATGGAAACCTGCATAAAGGAATGTACAGCATTTTTGCATTGGGGGGTGGGAGGGAAACTCAGTCAAGCTGAGTTCCTCATTCCCTGATTATTACAGCAAGGGGCTGATCCTGCTCGTGCTGAACATGTGCCAAAATCCAGAGATGAGTGGCAGAAGTCCGAGTGGCTCAGCACCTTTCAGGATTAGAGCCTCTGGGCTGAGTTCTGGGCCAGCCTGGGTGGGCCCTGTGTGTTGCTAAGGGCCTCCTGGGAGGATCAGGTAAGTTTGCATCCCACGTGGGGGTTCTGCAGGGCTGGAGCAGCAGTGCTGTGCCTGGGGAGGAGGGAAGGGTGTGAATCCACCCTGTGCCCAGCGCTGGGCACTGCAAAGGCGACAGAGCAAGGCACAGTCAGCCCTTACTTTTCTCCCTTGGGTGTGTTAAACCAGGGCTGAGTTTGGACCTAATTCTGCCGAGTGATGATGCTGCCAACCGGTACAACCAGCCTGGTGAACTGGGCCACCATGGGGCTCCTGCTCCTCCCTTGGGGCCAGGCAGCAGAGCACAGTGGCCTGCTGATGTTTCCCAGGATCGCCCCGGAAGAAAGGGAGTGCAACCTGGAGCTGACCTGCCCTTGGCTGTGGCATTCCTGTGACAACCCCGGGCTTATAAAAGGGGCTGTTGCAGTTCTGATTTGTGTGCCTGCATTAACGATATGCACGGTATTTGAATTTCATGGGACGTGCAGGGCGAAGTTGTCCAAATTAGCTATTTATAAGGAGCAAAGTCAACTGCCAGGCAGCAGTTTGCAGTTGATTTATTCTCCCTGAAACTTTAGAAACCTGCATGACACTTGTACAAAGTGCGGCTGTGTGCTAAATGTTTTATTCAGTACTTGTTTACAAAGACAAACGCAGCACCCTGTGATGCCTAAAAAAGCCAACCAAAAATGACACATTCCCAAGAGGTACTTAAAATTCTTACAGCTCTATTAACAACAAAATCACATGTATTAGTGGTTCTGTTGGCTAAACAAAGACACTTTATATTGTGAAACTCACTACAGATAAGCTTTGAAACAAGCTGTATGTGGGTCTTGGGGAGTGCAGGTATCCTGGGTGCTGGGGAAGCTGCTGTCATGACCTCAAAAGCCGCTGTAGGTGCAGGGAATTTTCCCTTGATCCATGGCATTGCCATGGATGTGATTTTCCCCTGCCATCTTGAGCCTTGTGGGCCTGTTTTACCCCCTCACCTGCTGGGCCAGAGGTGGGTCTTGCAGCCTCCATCTCCTCTCCTGGTGCCAGAAAGCCACCTCCTTGGCCATGTTGAATGAGAGACCCATCAGTGTGGATCCACCATTCCAAGGAGGAAAAAAATAACACTATTTTATTTTTTTCCTTTGCCAGACCAAGGATCCCTTGCCCAGAGGCACATTTCAGCTGTGGGGGAGCAGAGTGGGGCTCTGAAGAATCAGACACTGGTTTGCATGAGACAGACAGAGCTATGTCCTCCTCCATCCAGAGGGATATTCTCCAGGGACAGGCAAGTCCAAGTCCCACTGCAGCTTTCTGCTTTTGGGCTCCTAGGTATCATGTTCCTGGATCACTCCCTTGGCCACTTGAACACAGCCAGGAGAGAGGAAAACACTGCCATAAATCTCCCTGTGAATGTAGGCAGGCAGCTCCTGAGGGCAGAGGAGGCAGTGA